AGGTAGCCACCAAAAATACCAAAAACAACAAACTTGGCCCGAGGAGCAGCAACAAAACTAAATAAACAGCAACAAAAATTTGCCTTTTGTTTTGGCCTCTTTGGACGCATTTTAAATTATTATAAACAAACAGCTCTCTGTTCTGTTTTAGTGACTACGGAAAGGTGCAAATAATGAAGTCTCAATGCTGCCGAATTTGTGGCTATTTATACAAACAGCTGATTAACCAATAAGCAGGACTAAGCCAGGTGAATGAGTGGAAAAAATTCCATTATTTAAACTAGCTTCGATTGAAAAACAGGTGTGAGAATACCTGAAAATATATTTCCCCCATTCTACACTGTCCTCTAGAGTGGCCAAGCAGCGGAAGCTGATTATCAAACAGCAGAAATGGTACCAAGCTCTTCCCTCTCTCGTAATTAATACTCGTAATAAATTATTTAAACATAATTGCTGTCGCCCTTAATGCACTCTTTCTCTCCGTTGTGAAACATGAATATATAAAGTGCAGCAAGCACAAAAGTCCATGAACATTTTTCCGGCTCTTTGTTATCTGCTGCTTCGGTTGGCGGTTGGCCTCTTGTAAACTTTTCATATCAAGTTACGTACTTGTTGTTCTCGGAACACTTGCCACATTTCACACTCCTTAGTTGCCGTTTCTTTTCCAAAGATTTCCCAAGATTCCGAAAGGTCTGAAGCTTTTATTGGACTATTGAACGAGACACTGCCGCCTGCAGATGTGATTGATGTGCAATTCTATGGGGTTTATTCCAGTTCAGTGTCTTTGTGCAGCGGCTTATCAGCTCGAACTTTTAATAAATGGATGCATCACTTCACATCCAGACTCTCCGTTCATGTCCTCCTCTATACAGAATCGCCCATAAATAAGTAGTTTCACAACGAGTAAGTTAGTTATGTTTAACCCTCGAACCCAGACCAATTGTGATTTATACTCGGACCCTGGGTATAATCAGAATTCAGAAACGATTTTAAATAGGATTCTCGTAACATAATAGCAGGGCGACCGAGGAGACTCATTCTTGATTGACGTCAGAGGAGATTAAGCCACATTTCTTTGGAGTCGAAGATAAACAAAAAGCTCCCGGCAAGGAGATTGCTTCGTCAAACATGGCCTCTCCATTGCATAATTTAAAAATAAAGTCTAACTTTCATGAGAATAATTAGCATTCACTAAAATCCCTAACTAGGGGTTCCCGAAGTGCCGCCAGGATTCATAAAACTAATCTAACACATAGCTAAAACTTCTATATAGTTCCTATATAGAGAGAGAGCTCTTCCTCTTTTTGCGAAAAAAATAAAATTATACGAATTTCGAATGTATGTGTGTTTACTTTTTATGGCTTCTCGCATGGGTTTTCGTATTTAATAAACTGATTAGATAAGATAGATGTAGGTGAGCGTGGGGCGTGCATGGGGAATTGGACTTGAAAGAGCAACGACAAAGCGATAAGAGGAACCATGGCGAAACCTGTGCTTTTTTTACCTGGTGTTCATGGGTCAGAAAATAATAGCGAATCTAGAATCAAACGGATCGGGGCAGATTACAAGGGCACGCGCTCCCAATTAGTTAAATTAATTGAGGTTAATGCGGAATATATTTATTGGGCCATAGGTCGCAATGAATTGATTGCTAAAATAATGACGATTTGGGTGTGAGTTTGAGTTTGTTGCGGGGTGGGCTGGGATGGTATGGGGATCTTCACGTACTCGGTTTCCTGTGATGGCCTTTAAATGGCCGTGTGTAACCATATAATTGTTTGTCAACTAAAAATGGTAACGGACCCATTAAGGTGCCATAAGCCCAGTCAAGTATTGAGAATACAATCGATCTCCCAGAGAGCAAGATAGATATGAGAGAGGATCGTAAGCTGTTTGGCATTCCAGAGCTGGGGACCGAGAGAGAGAGCGGTGACGTGAGCGACATATAAAGTGACTCAGGTGATAAACGAAGCGATCACAATACCTTTCTGGCCTAAAGAGTTCACGCTGACCCCCACCTCCTACCTGACTGATCTATGCTAACAGTGTTTACACCAAATATACTCATGCTTTTAGCCACTAAATTCACTCGTGAGCACAAGGTCATTCCACAGCCAATTCGGCAGTTCAATATAGTCGGCTGCATTCGGGCATCCGAAGTGGCGTATACTTGTTAACTTTGCACAGGCACGTACTTATAGATACGACGAACGGCTCGTACTCGTACTCGTACTAATACTACAGCCTTAGTATCCGCACTTTTTCGTGTTAGTTGCAATATTCAATCGAGCGACACGTCTGGAGATATGACGTGCAAATCGATCGCAGAGAGCTACAGATTACACGTACTCTGGAGTCCGGACTACAGAGGTGGCGGAGGCGAAATCGAATATATATATAATGTATATACCGGATAGACGAACGGGCCACAACCGATCGCTGGCGATGTCGTCGAATAACTGAGTTCAGAGCAGCCTGAAATTCACAAGAGTCGTCGCTACAGTACGTGTATCTGACGGATACACGAAGAGCGCTCGAAGAGAGCGATTCGGTCGCTTTTCTTTCACGCTGGGCCTCTCTCTGGTTTCCCCTTATCAGCTGGCCCGTCGCCCGATAAGGAGTCCCTCCTTCGAGAATGGCAAGTGTCAAGAGAATGCATATGGGGGGATTAAAAGATTTGACGAGATTTGCTCACATTTATCGCAGTTTTTGCTCTTAACTGAAACAAAACGATTTAAGATGTATGGAAATAACTCAAAAATACAGATTGGCGTTTATAATCTGTGAGGAGAAAGAATAAATAAAACAAATTCAAAGAGAAAATATATGTTAAATATGTTTATAAGCTAAAATTACCTGAATTATTGTTTGTTTAAATTTATGAAAAGGGTCTTTTAAATAAGTTAATTACTTGGCTCAACCAAATTTAATAATCCTCGATATTTATTTTATATAGAAAACATGTATTAATTTCAATTTAAAACTCAGTTCAATAATTATTAATTTTGTAACATTAGTAATTATCTACAAGTTTAAACTACAAAGACTTGAGAACTCCAATTTAGTACGCAGCAAAAATAGTCATGGAATTCTTGGAAAACCGATTAGAAGCGTAACTACTATACACTGCAAGTGTGTATTTAGTCCAAATCCACCCGCGTAATCTTTATTCTGGTTTCGGAACTCAACATATATCTGGCATTAGCCATTAATCAACGACATTCGCCAGTGCGTGCTGCCCAAAACCTAGGCGTTGTAACGGTAATTAGAGCTAAGACCCCTTTTAGGGGCAGGTCCAAAAATGACCACGGGTAAGTACATGTGTGTGTGAGTTCAATTAACCGCCACGTTGATGGAGCATTACATTAATTAAAATTTCACTAGGCACTGGCTGGCGCTCTTTAAAAGGAATAAAGGTCAAATGATAAGGCAAGCAAAGGGAAGCGCCGAAAAATTATTATTAATAAATATGAGTGTGTGCAGCAGCAGTGCCAATTAGGGACAGATACTTATGTCTCGGCACATGAGCAACATGTGTGTTCCTGCCCCGTTTATCAAAAAAAAAACGTATATATGTATATCCAAATGAAAGCGGGAATCTCCAGTACTTCGGGAGGAGGGAGGAGTAAGTGCCCCTGAAATGGTAGCAGGTGCGGCCGCAGGAGCACTCGAAAAACAATTCAATCTGGCTGGGAAAATGGTCCGACTCTCAAGGTCGAAGGGTGCTTCCTCGCGGTGCTGTGTATCCACCCTCTGACAAAGAATCCAATTCGCCCAGGGGAAGGGGCGATCAAGAATAGCACAGAGAGGCAGCAGGCGACAAAAGATAATATTGCATTGCGTTTCCATTTCCCGTTTCCGGTCGGGTTTTGCCTGCCAGCTGAGCTGAGTACGGATCGTTCGGATCGTCCGGATCGGATCGAAGCAAAGCGAAGCGGAGGGGGCGGGAATGCACGGGTGCTATTTCTGAACAGCACTCATATATTATATCTTATCTGGTGTACGGCGTCTGCAGCAGCGAATCATGAGGGTGAGGGCGAGTTGGAGTGACAAAAACAAATATTACGAGCTCGAATAACAATAACGTGCCAAGCTAGAACTGTTCTCAAATTAAATGTGTTTAATTCATGGTAATTGCTGTTTCGAGCAAATATTTATAAACATTTTAATATTTAACTTTCTTCTTAGTCCTTAATATTTAGTTATATCTTAGCATACACTGCAGATAATATAGTCATATTTTTTGAACAAATTCTTATTTAATTATTTTACTACAAAAAAAAAAAACAAGATTGGAAACTTACTTCGGGTAGCCTAATTTTATATACTCTTGCAGTTTGCAATCGAATTAAAGGATCGAATCGGAAATCGTTCATAACTTGGCTTAAAATATTCGCACAAATCAAAGTTTAAAAATCTCATAACTAAGCCAAAAATGCATAAATTTCAATTCGGAAACCATTCCTATTTTAGTTTTTATAAGGTTAACAAATCTGCATACTCAATTTAAAACTATAGAAAATTCAATTTTTTTCCCAATTTTAATGATGTAACCCCTTTTCTTTTTTTATATTTATATTTTCTCCGGACATAGCTAGTTTGATTCGGCTGTTGATGCTGATCAAGAATATATATGACTTATAGGGTCGGAAGCGACTCCTTCACAGCGCACAGCCTTTAGACTAAAATTATAATTCATTGCAAGGGTTAAAAATTACATCTCCTGCAATGATGTTTATAAAAAAATAATGTATTTTTATCTTGTGCGTAACTACTATTTAAATTTTAAATAGGAAAACTGTCTAAAATTGGCCGAATTGCTACCACCAAATTAAACTGCAAAAACAAGATTTCATTATTTGAAAAAACCGAAAACGATCAATTAACGTTACCCATTCGACCTGTACTATCGAACTATCAAAAGTAAATCGATGTATCGATATTTCGATTTTATGCCATCTCTAAATAGGGTTGTAAAATATTTAAATAATTTTTTTGGAAGAAAGTATTCTTAGATTTTCCCTTCATTTGCTTCAAAGTCCTTGGACTACAGAAAAATAAAAAGGTAAAGTAGCGAGAAAAATCCGCCGAAAAAGAACCCCAAAAAAATAATTCTTGTATTTGCATAATATCGATAGACCGCTCTTAGCATAGGTTTGCGACAACCCTGCTGCATTTTGTGTATAAAAAACAACGAAAATGCCTGAAAGCGACGTGACTAAAATGAAGGTACGTGATTTATCTAAAACGTGCGATTGTGTGTGACAGGATACCTTTCCTAGGTGGCAGACCTAAAGCGCGAGCTGAAGCTCCGCGGGCTCACCGTGAACGGCAACAAGACGGAGTTACAGGACCGCCTGCAGACGGCGCTACTGGAGGGAGACATTTCTCTGGAAGACTCGGCAATAGCTGATGCCATTGACGACGACGATGTGTCCCTAACCGATGAAGATGAGCACAAGCTGCTGGGCGTCGAGCATGACGACGTCGAGGATGAGCTGCTCAAGAGTCCAGTGAGCACTCCCACCACCGTGTCCGTGCCAGATTTGCTGGCGGAGAAGGAGGAAACTTTGAGCGCGGTCCCGGCTGTAACAGCTACAACGCCGGCAAAGAAAATTGTGCTCAAGCGAAACAATTCCCTGACGGTTACAGGGACTGCGACCAGCTCGAGCACAACAACTTCCAAGGAGAACGAAGCCCCCACCGTAACTACTGGCAACGACACTACCGCAGAGACCCCGGTCAAAAAGCACAAGCCCATCGTGGTAGGACCCAGGACCGAAGGGGAAAAGTCATCGGCGGACAAGAAACTCGGCGAGTTGACCGCTCAAGAGCGATTGGAGCTGCGGGCCAAAAAGTTCGGCATAACGCCATCCCCTGCCGCCGCAGCTACAACTGCGTCGCCGGCAGCGTCAGTCAACAAATCTTCGAGCGCCTCCATAACGGCCAACAAGGGCAACAAGGAGACGGACGAGCAGCAGAAAGAGGCCCTAAAGCGTCGCGCCGAACGCTTCGGATGCGTTGTTCCTGACAAAACCCCGAAGGCAGCAGCCGATGAACGGTTGCAAAAGCGAAAAGAGCGATTTGGAGCTGAAACTGGAGCTCAGGCTGCATCAGCGACGTCTGGCACAACGGAATCAAAGGACGTATGGTCGGAAAAGGCGCGTGCACGCTTGGAAAGATTCAAAACTGTCCCGGCTGCCGTGGCCGCTGACGCCACCAAATAGACACTTCAAAAATTAATTACAAAGACAAGCAGAATCATAATTGTATATCTTTTTCTTTCGACAATGGAAGAGCTATCCCAATCATTCAATCATGTATCTAACCCCAGAAGCCACCAATGCTTGTAGCAATTAAGCAAATGTTTAATAAACGTACATTTCAATAATAGGCAACGCAGGGTTTTTTTTTTTGGTTTTACAAGGTTTTTATTGGCTTTAATTCAAAGGCTTAAAAATAATTCGATTTTCGACTTCAAATGTTTATGGGTCTTGGTCTTGGGTTTTTTGTTGGAACGTCAGTAATTATAATATTAGCTTGTATAATAATATGCGTATGTATATATAAAAGTTACACAATACATGTGGGTTTGTCGTAGACGCGGTGGATGCCAGAGATTTCGGTATTGCGCGTGAATTAAGGAAAATCTGCCTGTGGCTTATCTAGGCTTCTCCGACTACCGATGAATGAATTTTGGAACATAATGAATTGACTTAAAAGTATGTTACTTTAATGTTGCGACCATCCAGACGGGACCCATCCATTAGCGCTGGAAAATAAGGCTAGACATCAGCATGTTTGGGAAATGAAATCACAAATATAACTCACCTATAGCTAATTCGGCATCACGCTCCTTGAAGAAGCGCACCACGCCCACATCGTTGCCACGGATTTCGGCAAACTTGACGTCGCCAATCTCACGGAACTTGTCGCGCAACGTCTGCCAGGTGCAGCTCATGGGAACGTTCTTGATGATAATAGTGTCCGACTTGCGAGCACCTCCTCCAACATTGCCTGAGCCTACGTTCGAGTTGCCCACATTGTTGCCGCCTCCATAGATGTCCAGTTGATTAACCGAGTTGTAGTCATTGCTATCCAATTGGTTGCCACCGCCGCCTCCTCCATTACCACCTCCCACGCCGGAGCTGCTGTAGGCATTGTATCCCACGTTGCCGCCAGAGACTCCGCCCCCACCGCTATAGTTGCCGCCCGAGCTGTAGTTATTTCCACCTCCAGTTCCGCCGCTGCTGTAGTTGTTAGACAGGCCAACGTTGCTGCTGGCCAGAGAATCGTCGTTGCCGCCCGAGTTGCCAAGATTTAGTCCAAGGTTGCTTAGCGACGAGGTGAGCAACGGGTTGCTTAAGCCTGCTCCCTGGCTGCCCAGGTTGCCGACGACAGCGGCCAGCAGGCTGGGATTCAGATTGTTTAAGTTCAATCCACCGGCGCCAGAATTGTTGCCAAGACTGGGCTTCTGCACCGGAGCCACAGGGGATGGTTGCACCGCTGAATTATTGCCGAACATCACACCCGTCAGGTTGTTCAACAGATTGGTTGCGTTGCTAACGCCGCCGCCGCCTCCTTGGCCAGCAGCCACTGCTCCGAGCTGACCACCTTGCTGGACACCGCCGAGCAGCTGGCCCTGGTTCTGACCTCCGTTGGGTAGGTTGTGGGCAACGTCCTTCAGGGGCTCTCCATTGGGTCCCAGGCCGATACCCACACCACCTAAGCCCTCTGGGAGCTTCAGTCCCTCGTTCTTGTCCGGAATGCGGTCCAGACGCACGGTCATGCGTCTATCGAAGAGCATCTGACGATCCAGCATGGATATGGCCTGTACGGCCTCTACGGGATGGTCGTATTCAATCACAGCAAAGCCACGACTGTGGCCCTCCTTGTCCAAAGAAAGATCTACGCTCTGCACCTTTCCGGCCAACTTGAACACCTGCTTGAGCTTCTTGTTATCCACCTTATAGTCCAGCTGCAGGTAGTTAAAAAGGGAAATTAGTGGGGGTGAAAATCCGATGGCTTCGCCACTGAAAGGGTTTAAAGAGGTGGTGACCAGGCTGAATCGTCCCGCTGTCCTTGGCAAAACCATGCTGATTGCTAAGCTATTATGGAGATAGATGATGAAAATTCCAGGAGAATCAATCCGTCCGCATGAGCAGAAACCGAAAACCATAGCCCAAGATGACGCCGACGTCCCAAGGCTGTAACTGCTTCATATTTATAACCCATTAACCAAGAGTGGTAATAGTAGTATTCGCGGATTCAACATTTGCGGGGAGCGTAAAAAGAGTTAGGGACACTGCAACCAACCAGATAGACACACGGGCGAGTCGAAAAACCATCAAATTCGTTGCTGCCAAAGATGTTTGAGTAGGTATCAAAACCAAGTAAACCAAAGATAAAATAATACGGATTAAGAGTGCTGATTTTGAATGTCACGCGAAGGTAAGCGAACCCAAATTCGACACGAAGCCACAACATTTAATTAGGAAGAATTATGTAACATACAATGCCTTTTCTCAGGTCTGGTTCAAAAGATTGCATTTCAGTAAACCTTAAAGATGGGACAAACAAACTCTATGGCTAAAGGAACCCAAAGGAAAAGGATTGTTGAGGATGTGGTCAATATTCCAACCAAGACTGGTAACAGTGAGATAGAGATAGAGCGTCCGGAGGTTATAAACACGAATCCACCTGGGTTATAAATACGAAACAGAGCCCCCAATAAAGAGTGTAAAATGCAACAGCATATTTGTACTTCGGTCCGGTCCAGTTGAATAGTATACATAGGATTATTGGATTTTTATATTACAATATACTCACATTAGCAACAAAAACCTTATTATGCAAAGGTCCACTTATGCCAAGACTCTCCAAAAACGAAGCGGAAAGCCCATACAAATTGTAATTCGACGAATTATTATAATCATTTGACATCATGTTAAAATTATTACGCCCAGATCTAGAAAAAGAGAAGCCAAATTCCAGAGAAACAATAACAAATAGGAGAGGTGATGGTAAGCTTCAGCTACGTCGGAGTAGGATGCCAAGAAAGCCGCAGGATCTAGACATTTTTTTACCTGCTGTTGAAGTGTTTACTCACAAACTATACTTGGAGTTCACAAATCGAGCTAAGTTAAAAATCTGTGGAAATGGTGCTCCAGGTGAGAAGTTTACTAAAATAAACACATTTTGATCGCAGTCATATATCGCAGATTTCCCAGCATCTTAAAAATATTAGGAATATATCCCCTTTGACCTATCACGCCTACTTCTATACCACCAACAAAAATCATATTTATGGATGTATAATCGAAACCTTATCACATTAAACCTTTCAAGTCGATTAGTAAGATCCAAAGTCGGCTCAAAATCAAAAAACAAACTTCGCTGGTACTATAGTATCATTCATTCTAGCCTATGGTTTCAAACGCTTATAGTAAGGATTAATATAAAAAACTGCGAATGTATGAAAAAACGGCATTTAACATAGGAAATATTTATATATCTGACTACCTTTCCTGTTTTTCAGACTTTAGATTCAACATCTATCGAATAAATAAAAGCCCTGCGTAAGATTTATCCAGCCTGAATACCAATTGGTTTGTTCCTCAAAGTTCCTTAAGTAAATCATCCGCATCCGTGAAATTTTGGAAGAGCCGCTTAACTTCGATCGCTTTACAACTTTACAAAACTCGACGTTCATGGAAATCCAATAATATAAAGGAGCTCGGCTCTAGGGTGATAAATGCATAAATGGCCACCGCAAATAGATTTCACTCCTAAATTTGATTTGTTAATATATTCCTGCTTACATACATACAAATTTGGAGATATCTAGAATTGAATTAATCCGCTTCATTAAAAAAACGCAACGGTAGGTAGGTAAGACTGAGAAAATTGTGTGATATATGCGGCCTAGCAACTCTGCTTTCCTGCTCCACAACATCAAAGAAGACACAATAGAGGCACTATAGCATAGGGGTACTCACAATCTGTCATCATCACGACGGGAGAATCCACGATCACGGTCGTCCATATGGTCGCGGCCACCGCCGCCGTTGCCACTTCCACCACCGCCGCCGCCTCCACCGTTTCCTCCCCCACCGCCGCCGGCGCCATCACGCACAATCCGGCCATACTGGTCACGCTGCTCGCCGTGATCCTCCTTTACGACCAGCTCACGGCCGTTGACCTCGTAGCGATTCATCTTTTCCATGGCCTTTTGCACATTCTCTGGGTCCTTGAACTCCACAATGCCGCAGCCACGCGCCTTGCCGCTCTCGTCATGGAACAGCTGCACATACTCGATGGAGCCGACGATGCGGCGGAACAGGTCCTTCAGGTCCTGCCATCGGTAGTCGTACGGAATGTTTGAGATGTACACCCGGCAGTTGCGTCGCTCACGGCTCCGGTCGCGGATATTGTTGCTGCCGCCACCGCCTCCCCCTCCACCACCACCGTTGCCACCCAGATTTCCACCGGCGTTACCATTGCCTTCGGCGTCAGAAAAACGAGAGCCACGCGCTCCACGCCCACGACGATCACGCTCCTTCTCACGGTTCTCCACAGCTATGCCCGCATCCATGTTCATTGTTGACTGAAACGGAAAATGACCGGAAATCCATGTAGTACGCACCACAAAAATTGTCTGTAGCGGCGTCGCGAAAACAAGATGGCGGCCGCATCCATAGTTTTCCTTTTTCGCACGCCTCTGCCCGCTTATCTTACCTATTCGCCGATTAGCTTAGTTCACTGCGTTTCAATTCTTTGCGACTCTATAAAAGTTATGCAATATAGGACTTAACAGTTAAAATTTTGTAAATTAAACGCAGCCGAATTTTTGCAGCTATTGTTAGGGATGGGAAAACTTCTTAAAATGATATCGGTGTATCGAGTATTTTGTTCTGTATACCGATAGTTAAATGTTCTTAAGCGATTTATGTTTAGGAAATAGGCCCGTTTTCACTGGAGTGCATTTGGCCATTCTGTATTATGGGCCAAATTTTATATATATTCTGTTAAATTAAAAGTATGTTTTTTTTTCAAGATTGTTAAATCCAATTTTAGAAAAAAACCAATTTACATTTTCTGCGACATTTAAATAATGCAGCGTAGTGAACAAGTCACTTAATACAAATCACCAAAAATGTCTGTGATATTGCATTGTCATTTATAAGATACATATTAATTTGATCCATATACGAAATTTAATTGTCTTTTCTTTTATATTTTAATATTCCCACTGTTGTTGAAAATGAATACTTTGTTATAAATAAATAATAATTGTAACGCCATTTAATTACTTTAGGAAAATGAATGAGGCTTAATTTGAGTTAAGCTGAAAAATAATAATAAAACATAATTGGTAAATAGTACACACAATCGATTTATTTCGTTCCTTTTTGTATGGCAAAAATTAATACAAAAAATTAAATATTAAATGTATGTATGTATGTATAAAAAGCTTAAAGCAAACTATATAATGTAAATTTAATTGGCTGCTTGTTTTCTCTCCGATTGATCTGTCAGTATGGTAAGTTGAAAGAAAGGCCTATCTCAAAAACTCATGCGAATTAAACTTTCTGCATCTTAGCACCACAAAATTGTGTTTAACCGAATAAAAATCTTAATTGTTTGTGCGATAATCGCCGTGACCTAATCGGTTGAGTTTGTTTGTTCTTTTCTATGATGAGTACTAATGGAATTCTGCTCGTGCGTGCATGTGTGCAGGAAAAGAACGAGCTGACGACTCGTTCGAATTTGTAGCTTAGAACCACGCAATGGTGATAAGGAGGGTCACTATGAATCTTTATCTGTTTACATTGGTTTATATCGGGTTTAAGCACGGATTATCTGGCAAAGTACAAACAACATTGAATCGGGTTTGGGGATGGTTTGAAAACAAATGGTTATAGCAGCTGAACCAAGGCAGTTACAACAGTATTCATAGTTTATATGTAGAGGTACATATTAATTTTCGTTTTGCTTCGTTCGTTTTTGTTTGTTATTGTTAATACTCTTAAAAGGGCGCCACGCAACCTTTCAAACGACACAAAACACACAGTCACAAAATCATTTCGACGTACATAAAACTCTAGTTACTTAAATTAATTACAATTTCTTTCTTTTTATCTGACAATTGCACCGACTGACACGCTCCCACATCTGTGTGCTCGTGTGTTTGTGTGTGTGAGTTCGCTTCGTAAGTGTGCGTGGAGCAGAGAGTCCAAAATGGGCAAACATTTCGATCCCGAAACGATTCACGATCCGCGATCCGATCCGCCGCCACACATACAGACAAACAGGCGACATTTGAGGAAATAAAAAGTGAATAAAACCAATGCAAGGCCGTTTACAGCATTTTACATTTAAATCTACGATTCGGCTTGTTCATTTTGCGGCCCCTCCGTCCCTTGTTGTCCTTGTCTTTGCGGATCTCGCGCACCAGTGTGTAAAATGCATCGTCCACGCCCATGCGCGTCTTCGCGGATGTCTCAATGTATGGAATGCCGTATTGTTTGGCCACCTAAGAGTAAAATATACATACATAATTATAAATATATAAGACAACAACAGAAAGATCTTCAACAAAGGTACTCAAATGCTGCGCTGGGCTTGTGTGTTTTCTCTACTCACCTCTCTTGCCTGCTCGTTGTTCACGTTCCACGAGGCCAGATCACATTTGTTACCCACCAGCACCATGGGCACCTCCTCTGCGTCCTTAACCCGCTTGATCTGCTCGCGATAAGTGCCGATGTCTTCAAAGGACTTCGCACTGTTCACGGCAAAGACCAGTAAAAATCCCTCACCGGTGCGCATATACTGATCCCGCATGGCGGAATACTCCTCTTGGCCGGCGGTGTCCAGGATATCCAGCAGGCAAGTCTCTCCATCTACAAGGGCCAGCAGACTTAATAAGTAAAGTAACGGAAGTCGGCGCCCAACCCCAAAACTCACCTATAACCACTTGCTTGCGGTAGGAGTCCTCGATTGTGGGATCATACTCGTCCACGAAATGGTTCTGGATTAGCTGGATGGTTAGTGCCGATTTGCCCACGCCGCCGGCACCAACCACGACCAGTTTGTATTCCGTCATTTGGCGTCTGCTTTCGATTGGCCGTAGTCGCAGTCACAGTCGCAGTCTCTCTCGCGATCGAAGTTCCTCAATTGTATGAGCCCGCAGCTGCAGTCTCTCTCCGTGTCCGTTTCTATATCGCTATATGGGTGTGTGTGTGAGTCGGGCTGCAAGTAGAGTAAATTATTAATTAAGATTGATTAAAATAAATTAAACGCATAATTAGGCACGAATTAATGCACTGAGTCACTTCGGATGGTGCTCACTCACACACGCGCACGCACGCACACACAGACCACAAAGAGATCAATGACTCAAAGTGCTGCAGCCCCCAGGCCCTGCATATTAATTCTTCCTGTCTCTTGCGCACAGCCTTCCACAATTTAGCTATTAATCACTTTTAGGGGCACTATGAATTGGCAGGCATTTAGCCGCTCCTAGCATTGCTTCAAGTGTTTTTCTTTATTTTCTTTTTGCCTGCCGGGGCTGCACAGATGCGGACCTTCTTTGTTGCTGCCTTCTCGGCTAGCTCCTCCTTGTTTTTCCGCTCCTCTTTGCCTCTCGCTTCACGCTGCAGTTGCTGGGCACGTTTCACTTTCACGGTTATCAGTTCGACAAGTGCAGCAGCGGCCAAGTGCACGACTTGTAATTAGGTGTAATTGCAATAACAATTTGCGGAGGAAAACAATAAATTCGTATCTAATTTCTGCAGCTGTCTTCTTCTACTTCGTCGCCATTTTGTCGGAACATCGATAGCGGTATCGATGATATCGAACGCCGGCAACTATCGATTGTGTTTTGGGTGTCACGATAGCACACAAATTTATTTAAATTTTAACTTTTTTTCGCTGGGCACACACTTTGGCAAAGGCTTCTAAAATAGTTATATCAAATCAAAACCATGATTAAAACCAATTAAAGCACAGCTGTTCCATGCAATTAGAAGAGTAAAATTCAGATGAGGTCTAATGGAAACACAACAAAATATGTATATTTCCACTATTCCAGCCATTCGATAGCTACATTTAAAGTATCGATAATAACGTGTTGCTGTTCAGCATGGACAAATTGAAATTTAACAACTTGGTAAATAAAAACTTTTTTTCTTAGACAATTGGCTTGGTAAATTATATATATTCCCGTAGGTAATATCAAACAAGAAGTTGATTCAAAAGGCACGTGCCCAGACCATCGCTAAGCTCGTCCAAAAATTGAGAAAGTCGAAAGATGGTCTGGCCAAGAATCCGGACAGCGAAAAGGAGAAGATTCGCCAGCGAAAGAACAGCGAGTGCTTGGCCCAGCTGAAAGCTTTGAAATGCTTGGACATAGTGCGGCAGTCCCTGCTCCAGGAAGGCATTAATCCCAATACAGTGATTGCCAGTGAACGCTCCACTCCGGATGAACTGGGCATCGCCATGCTGCGACTAAACAAAATCATGCACGGATTGGTGGACACCTTTGTAGCTTCCCTGAAGCTAAGCACCGACAAGGAGGCCAAGTGGCGCGAGGAGATACTGGAGACAAGCAAGCGACGGTTTAAGATTGAACGTACGGAGGAGAAGAAGAGGAAACGTAAGGAGCTGAAGGACCAAAAGGCACAGACAAGGAACCGATTGGAGTGGCTGCAGCAGAATAAAGTGGCCGGAGCTGAGGGCACAGAGGTGGAGGCTAAGGATTCTGGCCAGCTGGAAACAGAGCAGCAGAACCAATCTGCAATCCAGACTCAGAAACAGCAAGTCAAAGTTGGTAAAAACGATGAGCCCACAGATGCTACAAAGCCAGAGAAACCGAAACTAAACAAGAAAAACAAAAGTGAGCGCAAGCCTCTTACCAAAACAGTAAAACCTCAACGGCTTCCGCAAGTAGTGGGTGAAAGCAAGGAAAACTCTCAGGATAAACAAACAGTGCGAGAAATCAAGCAAAAGCCTATTGAACGTACAGAAAAGAAACCTAAACTGCGATCAGATAGAAAGCACAGCATTGAAGAGAAGTCAAAACCAGATAAAGATCGTCCCACTCACGTTGTTGATCCATTTTTCATCACCGAGTCTGGGCAGCCATATTTATCCACCGCTGTGGTTCATTCAGAGGACAATGATAGCGAAACTGAGGAGGAGCAGAGGCCACCGCCAGTCAAAAGGTACCGAAGTGATGACCAACGAGGTAGCAATCATCGTGAAAGGCCTGAGAGACAACCAGCGTTCGGTACGAAAAAACAACACGATGATCGGCATCCCTCCTGGGTGGCCAAGCAGCAACAGAAGCCCATTATTGGTGACTTCAGGGGTAAAAAGATCACCTTTGGTGAGGATGGACAGGCGGCAGAGATTAGGCCTCCTAGAAATAGTCCTGCTCCCCCAGCTGCCGCTCCAGCATCGACCGAAGGCATGCATCCCTCTTGGGTGGCCAAGCAGAAGTGGAAGCCCAAAATCGCCGATTTCCAGGGCACCAAAATTAAGTTTGACGAGGACTAGCAATAAACAAGCTTATAGTATTTTGATTTTTTATTACTAAATAACTGCAAAGCTTTCGGCCTAAACGTCCACCTTGGGCACATAGTGACCCCGCGCCTTATCCTCGTTTCGCAGCTTGTCCACGTTCACATCGGGGAACTTGCGCCGCAGCACATCCAGGTCAAAGTTGGGATTGCGACGGAGGATCATCATGACCTCGTTGCGAGACCGACTGTAAAATGGCATAATGGTATAGAGTGAATCATAGCAAAGCTTTTTTGAACTCACTTCTTGGCCTTGCGCTTGGCATTGTATAGCTGCTCCCTATACTTTAGCAGGAACCTATTCACGGCCCTGCCGCCAAAACCTATGTTGCGGGACTTGATCCATTTGAGGTTCATGAAGGGCGGCAGTACGTGTTCGCACATTTTGTAGTTGACCTGCAGACCGAAGGCATTCTTCACCGCCTTCTGTGGGCGCTCACCCGTCTCTCCTGTCTCAAGCAGGTGATAAGCCTTGTTGCGCTCCCGCACTACTGTCTCCAGGTTCTCCATGGAAATCTTCACCTGCGGTTAGGCGTTATAGATTGCGCCGAGCTCTACTGATCAAACGGATTACCTTATCGATACGCTCGGGATTGGGAAAGATTTCCATTTTGTCGTTGCACTCGTGCTCCATTGTCATCAGCATGTTTCGCTCCTTCAGTAGTATGAACCAGAGCTGGTGCAGCTCCTTGTTGGACTTGATGCGCAGCTCATCTGTCCGCCAGGCGCGGCCCACCTTTACCTCGTTCTCGCTCCAGTGCTTCTTGTCGTCGAAGAACTCCATGAGATCCCGGCGAGCGGCAGAAGTGTGCAGTTGAGCATGCGGCGTCTGCACCGCGGCCGCACTTATTATATAAAAACAAAGTGGCAATTAAGTCTATATTCTGAGTGAAGACTAATTTCTTCCGAGAGAACTCACCTCCAGGCTTGCCATGGCTGCTTCGGAGCATTAAGAAAGCCTTTCACCGTCGCTGATCGCACATTTTTTGCGAAATTTAAACATTTTATTAAAGTTGAAGACATTTTTCGAACAGCTGCGACGGGACTATCGATAGTATCGATGTTTTTTTTAAAGAGCGAGGAAATGAAAAGGTTCTTTAAAAAAAATAAATTCCGATGGAGTACTGGAAGGTACATTTTGTGTGTTTTTTATATTTATTGATTAACTTGAAGTACAATTTTCTTCCCTTGCGCGTGTGCATTAAAATACTTGTGTATTCCGGACCTCCACAGAACCTGGAGGACATTTTATAAAGTCTTATTTTCTGTTATTTTGTGAAGATGTATGAAGTATCCATTAATTTATTTTATAAATATGGGTTATAATAAGTATTTTTTATTATTTATTTTTTATGTATTACCATTTGGAGCGTATATAATAATGTTTTCAAACACAGATTTTACTTACTATCGACGGAATAGTGTGGCCAGCTAGAAAAAGTGAAATGAAACTCAAAATCGATGTTTTGAAAACGATACCCAAGCATCGATAGTGCTCCGGCTCTCTCGCTCCCGAGGAAATTCTGTTAATATACGCGATTTTTTGTTAATGATAGCGGTTATGTTATGCATTTTACATTCTACCTGAAAATTATACTATATACCCAAAAGTGAGAATTCGACCCCACGCATCGTAAACGTGTAAAATGGCTCTGTGCACGTGTAAAATGTAAAATGTTAAATATCACAATGTTTTCAGAACATCGATAGTGCAAAAAATCGAAAATCGATAGTATCGAAATTGTGTTTGCTGTTTTCCAAGTTGCTAAATGAAAAATCGAAATTTTCTTTAAAAAAAAACACGGGCCGCGTATAATTAAAGTGAATTCGAGGCAGTTGCACAACATGCAATAGGAAAATGTAAGTGGCCCCTCCCGGAAAAGCCCCAAGACTGGCTGAAAATGTTTGTTCTACTCTTGGAGTGCAGGAACGCCAAGTTTTCTATGTGGGTGTGTGTGTGTGTGCATGTAATGGTGTTTGTGGCATTCAGTACACAAATTTAAATTGATAAAACTCGACAAAGGCAGTAGTGGTTCTAAATTGCATCCAGTGGATTCCCTGCCTAGCCAAGTGCTTATTAATTGTGCATTTATCACAGCAAATTCTCGCAATTTGCACCTATAAGTGGGCGAGCAAAAACAGATTCATTGAAAAAGAAGCAGGGGAAAACAAAATCTAGAGCGATGTAGTAATAGGACAGTGTTGCCGATCTGCTGCCTGCAAAGGGGAGCAGCAGGGCAAGATTTATCTGTCGGCGTTATCAGTGTGTTTGAGCTTTGCTCAAAAGAAGTATTTACTCAGCCGTTACGCTGCTAATTGGATCTTATATAAAATGCAGGCCTTCATTGAATTAAAAGGTCACAGAGAAAGAGGGGCGAGTGAATTGATTGATCAATTTGGCGGAGGGGAGCAGTCGATTGTGTGGGGTTTTCTGCCGCCTTTCGTGTTTTTCTCATTTCTCTCTCGCGCCGCATTTCGTAAGACTTCAGCGGTGAACGCCCAAAAACACAAACAAGTCGTTATGTTTGTAAGCCTGTCCGCCAACCGTGTGCTTCGTTGTTTGCTCCTCTGCTTTTTGGTTTTTGATGGTAGTGGTAGTGGCGGTGGCGACCAGGGGTTAATTTCTAGGTGTCGCCTCAATTATCCGGCTTCTGCAATGTCCCCGGTTTTAGGTATGAATCCATGCCGGATGGATGGAAACTTGGTGCCACTTGTTGCCCTTGTAAAGCGATGGTTTTTGGGATTAACAGATCTTTTTAACTGCAAAATCCACTGCATTCTTGATTCATTTCAAAACAATATTCACAAAATATGTATATACCCTTTCAGGGTATTATAATTTCAGTCAGAAGCTTTTAAATATGTGAAGGAGCCATTTCCGACCCTATAAATCATATATATTCTTGATCAGCATCGATAGGCGAATCGATCTAGCTATGTCCGGCCAAAATTTAATTTTTTCAAAATTTTGAAAATTTTACAAGGGGTTACATCATTAAAATTGTCAAAAATTGGCAAAAAATGGAATTTTCTTAAATTTAAAACTGAGTAAGCAGATTTAAACCCTAATAAAATCTAACATCGGAACGCTTTCCGAATTAAAATTAATGCGCTTTTGGCTTAGTTATGAGGTTTTTAAACTTTTTTTTTTTTTTTTTTTAAATATGGATTCAATGCAGATATATTTAGCTTGGTTATGATAAAATTTCCAGTTCGATTCTATAATTCATTTGCCAGGGTATATCAACATCGTCATCCCGAATTTAATTTCCTGTTTTTAATTCAATTATTTACATATATGACATACATGTTGTTTAAAGTTAATTTAAAAGAATATGTTTAAATTTGTAAAAAGTTCTTGCTTATTATTTGTTTATTCTTTACCTTCACTAATCTTATCACTTATAACCAGGTTTAGAAAGCCTTCTCCTATTGTTATTTGTTCTCCCTCTGACTTAATTATCGCGGTCTTCATAGAAATGGCAACAAATATCTGAATATTCGGCCCTAACAACTTATACAGCAGATCAAATAGTCTCAGGGGTATAACATTCACGGATTCGACCTTATCATGGCACACTATCAGTTAGTTTGCAACGCCCACATTATGGCGATATGTACATGGAATGTGGAATTTTTTCGTACGAATTATGTTTATCTTAAAGTTTGTCACAGTTGTGGTCTTTATATTACAGTAATCTTTGGAGCAAACCCAGTGCAGCTTATTTTAATTTTTGACCTAATCTATAAAATAAACAATGACTAATCGTTACTTTAATTCGAAGTTTATTGTAAAATGACAAGAGTAAAGGTTATTTTACTGTCTTTAATATAATTTCTTAATTAAATTTAGCTTAATGGCCTTGACATTAGAGGTTTACATAAATATCTAATAGATTTCTGAATGAAACTTAATTTAAACTCCTTTAAGAGCTCATATTAAGTAAATAATTTGATTAGATATTTATTTAATTTAGTATCACCTAACAATAACCTAGATATAAGTGTTAGCTGTGTGCCTGGTAATGTGGAGGCAGTGAGTAGTTGTGCTGTATTCTCTTGAAGCTCTGCTCCATTCATTAAAATGTGCGTGTGAATTGAAGAAGAAAGCCAACGAAAGTTGTTCGCCACATTACCGGCCGAGTTGTTGCAACACCGACCGCGTTGTAATCGTGTAAATAAATGCAATCCAATAGCGGAAAATTACGAGATGAGAAAAGTAATCAAACTGAAAAGGAGCAGAGCACGGAGGAGCCACAGCCACCTTCTTATGGGAAGCATTACCTGGGCGGCAGTTGAAGTTGAATCTTCACATGAAACCTCAACCCCAACATCTCCCTCTCTTTTATCCTTTCTCGTTTCCGAAGACCGGAGGAGAGCCGCATAAAATGTCACAAAAGGAATTGGCGGCACTGGTTGCCTCTCGCACCAGCCGGAAGCGTACCGTACCCTCAACCAATCGTTCGGAACCAAAGTCCATCATAGAGATACACATATCCAATGACTCGTCATCGTCGACCGCCAAGAGAGCTTGCCGTGGCACGGAGAACAAGGTAGAGAGGCAGGAACTACAGCAAGAACCAGAGAATCTTGGTCCACCGCCTCCGCTGACTAAAGAGGAGGAGCAGCGGCACAAGGAGTACCGCAGCAGTTGCTCAATATTTCTGCAAGATCTGCCCTGCTTCAAGCTGCAGCAGGCACAGCAGATTCCCAAGTGCCGGGAGTGCAGGAGGCGAAACGTAGTACCCGGTGCGGAGGGCGAAGGCAACACTGGCAACGATGTTTACTGCCGCTTCTATGAGTTTCGGCGCCTTCAGTATAATGATAAAGGAGACTTGAATGTGGCGGGATTCCCAAATCCGTATAGCGAGCCCACACCGGAGGACTATGCTATTTGGCAGCCCGATGGGAAAACTGCGCCGACCAGCGGCTTTATGGACATACAGGTGTGCAGGTACATCCTGCTCCATGCAGGCGATCAGTTCTGCTATTTGTGGCGCCAGGAGGCGGAGGCCCTGCGGCTGCATGAAAATCCCGACGGCACTATTGCCTGGAAGAAGGCTGTGCAGGGAATACGAGAGATTTGCGACGTGTGCGACACCACGCTGTTCAACTATCACTGGACGTGTCGCAAGTGCGGCTTTGGGGTGTGCCTGGACTGTTTTAAGGACCGCAAGGACGGCAAGCAGCCATTACGGCGCCTGGAGAATGCTCTCCAGAAGGGATGTGACGAGTACCACTGGCTGCTCTGCACCGATTTCAGTGGCCCGCAGGAGCACGCCGTCACCGAGCTGATGCTGACGCAGATCATAGCCGGGGATGCCCTAAACGTTTTAGGCAGGATGTTGCATGAGGTGCGGACCTTGTGGCAGGTGCCGCAGGTGTGCGGCTGTCTGCTGAGCAAGCAGTCCGTGGACGATGCCCAGCTGGACGAGCTCATCCAGGACATGATCAAGGAGTCGCAGCTGAAGCAGCACACCAGCTTCTCCTCCCTGGCTACAGAGCAGAAGCTGCACCAGCAGCAGCGATTGGAGCAGCTGCACGCTAAAAAGCTGGAGTTTGCCCGGGAGCGAGGCATTGATTATGTTCCTGGACGCGTCTGGACCAAGGAGACCCTGGGAAAGGATCCCATTACAACGGCTTTTGACAATTTCAAGCACATAAATTTTTTGAGAAAGGGACTGGCTGGCTTGCGAAGGTTTCTCCCGCCAAGGGCCATGACTTTGGCGCACTCCACTCAGTTGGCACCTGGCGTACCGCACGAGTGGCTATGCGACGGCAAGCTGCTGCGACTCACGGACGCCATGCATCCGGATAACCGAGTCCTTTACCAGGAGGTGTGGAAGTGCGGTCAGCCCGTTATGATCTCGGAGGTGGCTCGCTCATTGAATCTGGACCTGTGGCATCCACAGGCCTTTTGCCGTGACTTTGGCGATAAGCCCAATGATCTGATCAACTGCCTGAATGGCAACCTGGTGCCCAATCAGCCGATGCGGCACTTCTGGGAGGGATTCCAGTGCATAACAAAGCGACTGCTGGACGCTAACGGCAAGCCTATGCTGTTAAAGCTTAAGGATTGGCCCCCGGGTGATGATTTCGCCGAGATCCTGCCCACCAGGTTTGCAGATCTAATGAAGGGACTACCCATGCCGGAGTACACACTGAGGACTGGAAATCTAAATATTGCCAGCTGCTTGCCCAAGATGTTTGTACCTCCAGACTTGGGGCCCAAGATGTACAATGCATACGGCTCAGCCTTGCATCCAGATAAGGGAACGACCAATCTTCATTTGGACATCTCGGATGCGGTCAACATAATGGTTTATGTGGGCATTCCCCAAGATGAGGACAGCAAGCCGCAAATGGCGGCCACTCAGAAGGCAATTGCCCTTGGCGGATGCGATTATATAACCAGAGCTCGCTGTCAAAATCCTGATGTATTGCCAGGTGCTCTATGGCACATATTTCCAGCGCGCGATGCTGACAAAATAAGGGATCTTCTTAACCGTGTGACCCTTGAGAAGGGCTTTCGCCTGGAGCCGGACCACGATCCCATTCATGATCAGAACTGGTATCTAGACGACAAGCTGAGGACCCGTTTGTTTAAGGAGTACGGCGTTGAAGGACACCCCATTGTCCAGTGCTTGGGGGATGCAGTCTTTATACCGGCCGGAGCTCCCCATCAGGTCCAGAATCTTCACAACTGCATCAAGGTGGCCGAGGACTTTGTCTCGCCGGAGAATATAACCCATTGCTATCATCTCACCCACGAGTTCCGGAGGCTCTCCCATTCGCACACAAATCACGAAGACAAGTTGCAAATTAAGAACATTATCTACCATGCCATCAAGGACTGCTGCACCATTCTGACTCGGGCATTGGAAGAGCGCATAGATGCGGAAATGGCCAAGCTAAAGGCAGATTAGAGTTCATCATTTCCCACCTGATGTTTCTTTTTTTTAATTTAATATCAAGCTCAATGTTTTATTTCTAATTTAAGTTTTAAGAATTGTCACGTATTAATTAATAAATATAATAATCATAAAATGATTTGTCTAAATGAGTTTAAGGGATATTTTTATTGCCGTCTTTGAATTGATTCTTAAATGTACAAACATTTATATGACGTTCTTTGTATTAATATTTCAGTCAATAGCTTAGAAGACGAAACGTTCGAGTTACATACATCTGTGCTAGCAACAAATGCATGCTGAGGACGGAACGGAAACTGATGATGAGGAGTCCAGTCCAGACTGTCAGTAGCATCGTACACGTCGTACTGCTGTGCTACTCATAAACCTTTAAAAACAGTGAAGAAGAAAAGTCAATTACAACGCCAGAAAGCCTTTTACACAAGATATTGATATACTAGCCGTGGGATTGGAAAAGTTGAAAGATCAGCAAGATGACGGTCGATTTTAACGACTATTTTTGGGTAAGACAACATTTATTTTAAGTTTGACGCTAAATTGATACAGACGAGGATTGTCAAAAGATTATCTATAATATAATATAATTCCTTTATAACCTTACCACCCTTTATAATCTTTTATGAAAATGCACGAACAATTTCACAATGAAGCTTTTTCTCCCTTTTGCAGGGCGAGAAAAACAATGGCTACGACGTATTATACCACAATATGAAATTTGGTCTGGTGGCCAGCAAGGAGTTGTCCGAGTTCCTCCGCGAAAAGTCCAACATTGAGGAGCAGAACTCGAAGATGATGTCCAAGCTGGCCCACAAGGCTGGAACACTGAATAGCACATTTGCTCCGGTCTGGACAATACTCCGCACATCGGCCGAAAAGCTCTCCACCCTCCACTTGCAGATGGTGCAGAAGCTGACTGAACTGGTCAAGGATGTGGCCAAGTATGCCGATGAGTTGCACAAGAAACACAAGTCCGTTAAGGAGGAAGAGTCACAGACCCTGGAGTGTGTCCAGGCCATTCAGACATCCACGGTGGCGGTGCAAAAGCTGCGGGATCTCTACGCTGCCAAGGTCCAGGAGCTGGAGAAATTGCGAAAAGATAATGGCTCGCACAAGGATGCCGAGAAGCTGGAGAGCAAGCTCAAGAAACTGCAGGAGGAGTACAAGGCACTCCTGGACAAGCATAATCCCATTAAAAATGAGTTCGAGAGGCGCATGACGCAGACCTGCAAGGTAAACTATGGATTGCTAAATTTTAGTCTCATAATTAACTAATTTGTTATTATTTTTAAGCGCTTCCAAGAGATTGAGGAAGTCCATTTACGTCAGATGAAAGAGTTTCTGTCCACTTACCTGGAAATGCTGCAAAACAATCACGACATGGTGGGTCAAGTACATTCCGACTTCAAGAGACAGTTTGTTGACATGTCCGTGGACAAGCTCCTGGAACAATTTGTGCTCAACAAGTACACTGGCCTGGAGAAACCTGGTAAGTGCGGTTTATTGCCATTTGTATTTTGTAATACTTAATTTAATTTTTACAGAAATGCCCGAGCTAGAGTATGTCGCCTTGTCCAGTGGGTCCCGACTCCAGCAGCCGCAGACCTCGGCCACCGCGTCCAACTCGAATTCGGCCACCAGTATTCAGGCCGCTCTAAGAGCTGGTGGCAATCCAACGACCACAGTTTCGGGAAGTGTAGTGTCCATGGATCAGCGCGGAGATGCCTTGGGCGCCATCTCACTGGGCAGCGGGAGCGCGGCCAGCGGTAGTATTCCCTACACCGAGGACCCGATACTTGGTGGAGCTTTGGGCTCGCCGCGACCCACATCGCCGGACATGCTGGGGGCCAGTGCAGCAGCGGCTAGTCAAACGCAGCCAGCTGGCGGAGCCACGTCCACTGTTAAGAGCCTGCGCTCCTGGTTCTTGCCTACTGCCAAGCAGCAGCAGTCGTCGACGGGCGCCAGCAATTTCGGTATGAGCGGGAGCGGAAGCGGCAGCAACAATCAAACCACAAATACCACGACAACAACAGCAACAGCAATCAACAGTAGCAACAATTTGAACACCAACAACACTACAACAACTACAACAATAGCAACAACAACTGGCACGAATAATCTCACCACCAATATTATCACCAAAAATTCCCCTAACTCTGAGGATACTAGCAATCAAGGTTCATTCTCTTTGTTTTTATTTTTGGTTTCCATTATCGGTTTTATTTTATGTTGGTTCGGTCCTACCGGTTATAGTTTCTCCTGTGTATTTTACCTGTTTCTATTGTAATATATTTTTCTTATCTGTTCTTAGATGTATAGTTTTATGTACGTGCTAAAAATCGTTTGCTTTTAAGTCAAGTCAACATTATTAATTGATTTTCATTGTACCAAAGAGATCTTTGCTTAATTCTCAATGTTCATCGAAGAAAAGAAACTTTTCTTTTTGTTTACTACTGTTAAATATTGAGTATAAGCAAAAACTCTATTTCTCCATGTTTGTAAATGTTTTCGTATTTAAAGGGATGGTAAAAAATATTGGTAAATCAAAACAGTATCAATACTTGAAGTTAAAGGCTTTTCCTTTCCATATACCTCCCTATTTATGTATATAATGGTTTATATTTTAATTTACATTTACATTTACTTTCGTTTTTTAGTTGAATTCTATCTGAAATTGTACACTCAAACACCAGCCAATCAATCAATCAGACATTAGTCCGGGACTTATTACCTAAACTATTGAACACACCACCTACACACACACACCGTCATAAGCACACGCGCACACGAAATGCCACCAAGCCGTTGAACTAACAGCACTAACACAATTCTCTCTAAATGCTTTTATATTCGTCTTTCGCACTGCTTTGACAACCATCCATCCATCCATCCGTACATCCATCATCAACACCCATCCATCCATCCATCCATGCACCTATCGACTAATCGAAAATCAAAACTTTAGACCAGGCACAACAGCCGGCAACAGAGGCCTTAACTCCCACTGCTACTGCGACGAAAAAGCAAGCATTGAATGCAACGACAAGCGAGCAGCAACTATCGAAATCATTAAATGAGCAAGACCATCTCCAGCAGACGGTGGCAGCTTCTTCAGCTTCAGGAGCAGCCTCATCCGCCGCGACAACGACCACAACGTCCAGACGTGCAACGTCACTTTTAAATATATTCACATCGAACTCTCAGGGTAAATGATCCAAGAATGTCATTGAAAGTGAAATGGGCCCCCGAATCCGACCTCCAACCCTTCCCAACTACTACTAAAACACACCTATATGTCCAAAAAATGCATGCATCTAGGCTTAATGTTTAATGGCTTTTCTGTGTGCTGAGCTTATTATTGTTATCTCATCCCCAATTAACATTTAAATCATTTTTAATGCATTCTTATATGGCGGTGTTTGAGTTCTGAGTTCCGAGGAAGACGTTACATTTAAGTTCTGACTGTAAACTATATTCAAACCACAAAGCAATGTTTAACATCTCGCATCCCCCACACTGAAACCACCCGGAGTTTAGTGTCGAGATGTGTTACCTCTTTCCTGTGTGTTATCTTAGTCCTTAGCTCGCTACTAAGTCATTCGTTGTTAACCCGCCTAAAATAATTCTCAAACTAATGATGTCACTATTTCGCCGGCAGTCTCTGGTATTTTACGAAGTCGTCGCGACAAAACCAAAACCAAAAAGGCAAAGAAAAAGAAAGACAATGAGGCTGCAGAGCACATACAGGAGGAACGACTTACCAGGTGAGTGCTTTAACTCCCTGTTCAGTATTCCATATTTTACTTCTTCAATATCGTTTGCAGTGCGGATCGAGCCAACAATACGCTGCTGGACTACGACGACCATGGCCGCAGCATGAAGACTCAAAATTCCAGCGGCAGCAGTGCAGGCGGTGGCTTGGCCGCACTGTCGGCCACTTCGGCGCAGGGCAGTGTCGATTCAGCAGGCGCCAGCAGCATGGGCGGCAGCGGTGGAGTAGCAACTGGTGCCAGCGGTAGTCTACCCAATGCAGGTGCTCTTACGACCTCGGCTTCGGCTACAGCACCCGGTGGCTCAAGTGGGAATGGAACCGGCTATGAAGTGGATGAAGAGGGCTTCAGCATACAGCCAGCCAAGGAGATAGCCTGGGAAGAGGGTCAGGATAAATGTAAGTTCATCTCGCGAATGGATTTAGACTGATTGATAAATAGAGGTCTAAATGGAAACGAATATTTATTAATGCATCGACAAAATCTCTTTTAGCTGGCAGTTTTTATTCTGACTCGGATACGGACTCGGACAATGACAAGCAGGAGCGGCGGATTCATGTGAGCATCAAGCCACTGAAGAATGGTCAAGCGCCCATGTCGGCCAGTGTGGATGAGCTGCGCGCCACTGTTGAAAATATTTCTCTGTCTCCAACTGGAGTCTTTTCAGTAAGTTGAAACTTTTACTTTAATTGAATATCAATTAAGTCCTTTTCATATTTATTCCACAACAGCATCACAGCCAGCAACTGCAGGGAGCACGTGGAGCCCCAGCGTCGCGCCAGCAGTCGCCGGAAATATCGAACGCTTCGACGCCGACGGCTAGTGTTCATCCTTATGCCCCGCTCCAGAGCCCGACGCTGTCCAATAACAATAACAATGCTAATAATACGACCAACAACCGCTATGCGGATCTGGGCGACATATTCTCCGAGCTTGGTGATATGAGCATGTCTGCACCGGCATCGGCAACGCTGGGCAAACCGCCAGGCAGGCAAATACCCACACCAACATCAGCGGCGTCCACAGGCGGCAGCATAGCCATACCGCGGCCGCCATCGCGACGCTCTGATATGATAGCCATTGGACCAGCGGCCACGGGGGGCACTGCCCCTGGACGCGGGCGTATGTCTCCGGCCCCGGTAACGGCCATGAATCGAGCGGAAAGCATTGGCAGTCTTGAGTTCCGCACAGCCATAGGGGGTGTGGGATCGTCGCGGGGTCCCTCGCCGCTGACGATCGGTATTTCGGACACCATACCGCTGGCGGTGGCATTCCATGAGATCATTCATGCCTATTTCCGGGGCAGCGACGAATCCAGATGCCAGGTGAAGGTGTCCGGTGATATGATGCTATCATTCCCGGCCGGCATTGCCGGCCTATTAGCCAATAATCCCAATCCAGCCAAGCTGGGTTTTCGCATTAAGCACGTTCAGAACTTGGAGAATATGGTGCCCAACGCGAAACTGGTCCAGATGTAAGAATATATTTAAAATATGATGAATTTATAACTCAATTTCTTGGTCTTTCGTAAATCTCTAGAGATCGCCAGCAGTCGAGCAGCCTGAGCACAATGCTTGAGTTCAACATGGGAGCCTTGACGGCCCTGCTGCGAAGGCAGGCGGAGAACAATCCAACGGCATCCTACTTCAATGTGGACATACTTAAGTATCAGGTGCGCACCAAACCGGGGGCCAGCTCGTGTCCCTTCCAGCTGGTCAGCTACTGGAAGTGTGAGTCCAGCTACACGGCCCTCAAAGTGGACTACAAGTACAATAATCATGCCATGGCCAGTGCCTCGCCTCTGCTAAATGTCACGCTCTCGGTGCCCGTAAACGGATCTGTCCGCAATGTCCAGTCTAAACCACATTCTGCCTGGTAAGTAAAAATAGTTTTAAGTTAGATCAAATTAGGTTCAGTTTTTATATTCTTTCCAAGGGTGTTATAATTTTAGTCAGAAGCTTGTAACTTGTGAAGAAGTCATTTCCGACCCTATAAATCATATATATACTTGATCAGCATCAACAGCCCAGTCGTTCTGGTCATGTCCGGTCGAAAAATAAATTTTTGAAATTTTTCCGAAAATTGAAAATTTTATAAGGGGTTACATCATTAAAATTGTCAAATTTGACAATAAATTGAATTTTTTAAATTTGAAAACTGAGTATGCAGATTTGTTAATCTATTAAAAGTTAGCATAGAACAGATTTCCTAATTAATATTAAAGATTTTTTGGCTTAGTTATGAGGTTTTAAAACTATGACTTTTGAAAATAAATTGTCCGTTTTTATACCTTTTTGCAGGTTTTTATAATTTTTACCAAAACTGGCAATAGAATCAACAAACGCAGTATGCAGATTTGTTCGTGCTTTAAAAACTAGCACAGAAAAGCTTTCCGAATTAAAATTAATGCAATTTTGGCGTAAATATGATGTCCGAAAAACTTTGATTTTTCACAACAATTGTCTTTTTATACCTTTTTGCTGGATATAATTGAAGGAGTCATTTCCGACCCTATAAACCATATATATTCTTGATCAGCATCAACCGCCCAGTCGTTCTGGCCATGTCCGGTCAAAAAATAAATTTTTGAAATTTTTCCGAAAATTAAAAATTTTATAAGGGGTTACATCATTAAAATTGTCGAAATTTGACAAAAAATTGAATTTTTCAAATTTAAAAACTGAGTATGCAGATTTGTTAACCTATTCAAAATTAGCATAGATCAGCTTTCCGAATTAAAATCAATGATTTTTTGTCTTAGTTATAAGTTTTTAAATCTATGATTTTCGGAAAAAATTGTCCGTTTTTATGCATTTTTGCGGGTTTTTATAATTTTTGTCAAAAACTGACAACAGCATCAACAAACGCAGTATGCAGATTTGATAGTGCAATAAAAACTAGCGCAGAAAAGCTTTCCGAATTTAAATTAATGCAATTTTGGCGTAAATATGATGTCCGAAAAACTTTGATTTTTCACAACAATTGTCTGTTTTTATACCTTTTTGCTGGATAGAATTTAAGTCAGAAGCTTGAAACTTAATGAAGGAGTCATTTTCGACCCTATAAACCATATATATTCTTGATCAGCATCAACAGCCCAGTCGTTCTGGCCATGTCCGGTCGAAAAATAAATTTTTGAAATTATTCCGAAAATTAAAAATTTTTTAAGGGGTTAATCATTAAAATTGTCAAAATTTGAAAAAAAATTGCATTTTTCAAATTTAAAAACTGAGTATGCAGATTTGTTAATCAATTATAAGTTAGGATAGAACAGATTTCCAAATTAATATTAAAATTTTTTTGGAAATAAATTGTCTGTTTTTATACCTTTTTGCAGGTTTTTATAATTTTAGTCAAAACTGACAATAGAATCAACAAACGCAGTATGCAGATTCTTTAGTACTATAAGAACAAGCACAGAAAAGCTTTCCGAACTAAAATTAATGCTTTTTTGGCTTAGTTAAACTTCAATAAGTCGGAAAATGTCAATTAAAAGTAGATATAAATATAGATTTAAAAAATGCGAATATTTAAGGATTAATTATAATATATTTCGGATTCGATCTTATAATTGAATTGCAGCCGGCAAGAGTATATAAACTTTGGCTTCATGAAGTTAGTTTCTTTCTTGTTTTTTTTTTTTTTTTTTAATTTTAATTGTTATACAAGTTACAAAATGAGTTAAGTTTTTTCTAATCCTTTAAATACCTTTTCCAGGTTGGGTGAATCAAATCGTTTGGTTTGGAACTTCACCGACATATCGCAAAATTCTCAGGACGGCGGCGTGGGCACTCTGCGGGCCCGTCTAGAGCTCAACGATGGTCCTTCGACGCCGGCTCTTCTGGCGACCCAGTTCAATTGCGAAGGCACCACGCTCTCGGGCATCGAATTCGAACTTCAGGGCAGCGGTTATCGTTTGTCGCTGGTTAAGAGGCGCTTCGTTTCCGGTATGTCTTAATGGACAATGACCAAGTGTGTCTCTGGGATTAACTCTCTTGTATATTTGCAGGCAAATATGTGTGCGAGGGCGATGGCATACGTAGTGGAGCAACGCCCACCCCGCCGTCAGTGGGCTCAACCAGTCCGTATTCGGCAAAGTCAAATTAATCGCTCCCCGACTCTAAAGACAGCTTTTATAGGAGCGAGAACGGGAACGGAAAAATGGCAATATGGCAATAGGCTCGTGAAAACCTAGAGAAATTTTTGTAACTAAGCTTAAATACGAGACAAACACAAGGATACCCAAACCATATTTGATTACAGACACAGGACTAGTGGCGCCTTATGAGTTACTTCTCTCTCTCTCTGAGCTTTTTATTATCATCCCCACTATACCTATTTGATCAGAATTTGCTGAATTCAAAGTGACAGGCTTTAATTTTTTGTCAGAAATTTGGAAACTAGATCAATTTTGATGCCACAAATCCAATCGGAACGGGATGTGGCGGGGCTATATATTATGATGTATTTTTGTACACACACGAAATTCTGTTTTCACGCGTAATGTTGAATCTGCCGGCTGGGGGTCCGCCGAGTGCTGCGAATGCTGCGGGTCGGACTCTGCTAAATCTGGATGTATTATTTGTTATATATACATACACACACACAAGTATGCTAGTATATATTATTGAAATGTATTTATTATGTTTAACTGAACGATATTGTATATGTAGCTATGTAGATATCTAAAGCAAACACACACCGAACGAACGTTGATTTTATGTTCACTTTTGTACACACAACAACCAAATCCAAAAATGTATTAAATGTAAGATACAAAAAAAAACCTGCAGTGTGTCGTCTCGCTTGGAATCTCGGTGGCTTTTGCTTTCGTCACCGGTGTGGCGGATAAGGCTGTGTGTTTGCCTCAGAGCAGCTCATGCAACCGGAGTTGTTGCCGCCTCTGTTTTCAGCGATTGCCGTTTCTCCGCCGATCAATTAATTATCAAATTTAGGCAAAGAACATGACAAACAGGTTTCGGTCTCTTTTCGGCGACAAAGACAACTTGCACATATAGGAAATTAGCAGTCCGTCGAAAATAGAATAAACATCGGATGCCGAAATACACGGGCGCCAACGAATCATCTGAAAGAAATCATTAAATTGTGGGTGTACCTACCCAGTCAGAGATCGTTGGGGAGCATTAGCCTAAAATTTAATTTGTAAAAATTCTGTAAGAAATTGTGAATAGAGCAAGGCAGCTGTCTGGTTGTTTTTTTTTTTTTTGTTTTTGTTTTGTTATTGAAAGGCGGTGACGTCAGGCCGCCACAAATTGATCTCAAGGTCGGAGTCGACGGACGCGTTTTCATTTCACTTGGCACACTTGACTGTGGGCTGTTGGCTGCTTGCGGCCACCTAAATACATTGCATTAAGCGTCCACTTTTCATATCTGGTAGCTTGTATCTTTTGGAGCAGGCGGGAATAAGCAGTGAATCCAATGGATGCAAGGGTGACTGGACTGACAGTGCTCCTCTTGCTGGCTTGACCATAGAGATCTCGACGATGTCAAACGATAAGATTGAATTACAAAACAATTGTTGCTCCGCGTTGTTCATACATATGCATATGGTTATAAAGTATTATATGGTATATTGCCCGTGGGTATATATACAATTAATTGTTGAACAAAAGCCAGCGACTCAACACATGTCTGTTGATATATGACATTAACAACAGCCCTGAAATGTAGAACGAGCACTGTCTGTATTTTTAGTTAGATAACAAATTTTTAACAGATGCTGCCTTGCTCACAACTTTTTGCTAGTCAGTTTCTCCAGTAAAATAATAGTAAACTATCTTTATCTGTTTAACAACATTGCACTTTATTCGTTTATTTATATTGACTGCATTAGTAAAGCTTAACCTATTACGCAAATACATATACGTTTAGATATTACTGGTATAAATTAGGGGACTTGTGGGGGTTTTACTCAACAACTTTCTAAAATTAACATTAATTCATTTTAAATTATTTGATATATATTAGTTTATTTCCGTTTGTCTGACAAGCGCACCTTGTAGCCGTAGGGATATATATAAATACGCACACACAACTCAAAAGTACATACACATCTATATGATTATATATTTTTTTATTTTTGCTAATAAAACGTCAATTTTTGGTGATCAATTCCAATTCTCAAGTGCACAGTGGAACTGGTTTCCTTGATATGTCCCAAACACATCATAGCTTTGTTTATACCTTCGGCATATAAACAAATATGAATTGGCACTTCCACTAACTGTTATCAGGCACTTGGGATACGGATCCACACGTCCCACTGTGCATTTAGTCAATTCAAGTTGATAATACACATGTGTGTATTTTAGCTTTGCCATAAATATTGCCGCCTTCTCGGAGTGTGTGCGTGTCTAAATAAACTACGGCTGACATCATTTTTCTGTTAACATATTCGTAGTTAAGCTCATTATATCGCAAGACACAATTTCGTAAAGTGATTAGTTAGTACATCCTACATACAGCACAGAATGATGGGGGAAGCCGACAGGTTCCATTTAGCCTGCAATGGATAGATGAAAGAAGAAATTCATTAAGATGGGAGCAGCATCTCGGCAAGGTCATAAATCCCCAATGAACTATATGTACGTGTTCGGTTTGTTCGTGTAGCAGTTGCTTAATTGCAGATCAAATAGATCATTCGATCGGAAAAAACAATGGGAGCCCCTCCGAGGCTAAATACCAATTGCGGAGGGGCGCCATTTTATACCCTTTGCAAGGGTATTATAATTTTAGTTAGGATCTCATAACGTTGTGAAGGAGTCATTTCCGACCCTAAAAATCATATATATTCTTGATCAGCATCAAGAGGCGAATCTTTCTAGCCATGTCCGTTCAAAATTTAATTTTTTCAAAATTTTGAAAATTTTATAAGAGGTTACTTCATTAAAATTCTCGAAAATTGACAAAAAATTTAATTTTTGTAAATTTTAAATTGAGTATCCAGATTTATGAACCTACCAAAAACTAACATAGGAGCGTTTTCCGAATCAAAATTAATGCATTTTTGGCTTAGCTATGAGTTTTTTAAACTTTAATTTGTCGAAAAAGTTGTCATATAAATATCGATTTAGAAAATACGATTATTTTAAACTTAATTATGATCGATTTCCTATTCGACCCTATAATACAACTGCAAACTGCAAGGGTATATAAATACCGGCTTTCCAAAGTTGTTTTCCTTTCTCGTTTTTAATAATATTTATTATTTTATTTTCAGACCCCTCTCTGGCTTTATTTACAGAGTATCTTTTAACCAAGCCTCCCCTTATTGGGAGAGAAACACGAATAAATACAGAAAATAAACGCAAACGCGCATGGAATTAATTTTTTGTGTGTTCGGTTTTGGTTTTTCTAAAATGCGCAATTGCCGCCACCCGCCTTGGGGTTTGTATGAATTTATTTAAACTTTTGCGCTATATACTTGGGTACGCAAAATCGATTTCTACGAACGAACGGAACGTCTGTTTATTTGCATATTTTGGCTTTATAGTTCGAGTGAAAAATTCCAAAGAGATTGAAGGTGGAATAGGACGACCTGCCCGCCTTAGAACGAACGAGTTTCTTATCAAGTGATTCCAAAATATCTTCAAAAGCTCTCTATCTCTCTCTCTGGCATAAACAACACATCAGGAATTTATGATTTTCGTGGGCAGATCTTTTTTTAGGTCCCCACATTACCCAATTTGTTCGGCCCTACTGACTGGATCACCTGGCCGGCTGATAGCAAAAAGTCTCGCCCGTTAAGTAAGGTAAGGTAAGGTAAGGTAAGTAGTGGAAATGAAAAAGTTGCCTCTGTAGCATGGCAATGCACAGTTAAGCGCTATAGGCCTTATCGGGCGACCTCAGCACATGACCGTGAATGGAGGGGAGGTGGGAAGGGAATTAATCAAATCGAAAGAAATACCAAATTGGGCTACCAGCTACCGAAAACATAGGTGTGGTCCTTTCGATGAGAAGGAAGCTACTACAAATTTGAATCTCAATCATTTATGGGCAACCAAATGACTGACTGACTCATGACAGAAACTTCCGTTGCGAAAAACCTATAGTCAGAGTCAGAAATGTTAGCCAAATGCTTCTATATGGGGCTCGGGCTCGCTCAGCAGTATATGGAGACCGTTGAACAAACAAACAAACAGACCTGGCATTATGTAAAGTAAACAAACTAAAGACGAGCCCCAGCCAACGGAAGGGCGGCCCAAGAAACTGAAGCGTTTTTAATAGTTTTCCCATTCGGTGCGAAGAACGATGATGAATGAATTCCTGCCAGTAAGAGATCAGTAGAGCAAAATATAATTATTATATGTAACTACTACCTGGAACTATTTTAAGTTCTTAGTGATCATCTCTAAAGAATGCAATTATAAGTTTAACGTATTACACAAAACAGATAACTAAAATTGCTTTCCAAGCACATAACAATTTGTGATCAGACCTAGACTTATATGACAGGTAAACCCTATCAAGTCGCTTAGATATTCCTGAACACAAAATTATAATATAGTTCAACAAATTATATATATTATATATTTTTCCATGGCTTTCTCTGCTCTAATCGTAATTACCGATTAATCTAAATTTTCATGCATCAATCAAAAGATAATAACACTTCAGAAATCGTGAATCATCAATGGAAATTTCACAGTCCAAGTTCAGCCTATCGAGTGGCCACAGTAATTGGCAGTTTCACCTCCCAAGGCCGGTCCACACCCAAGAAATGCTCGTTTATGGCCCATCAAACTGCACCCCGTCATGCTCTCACCTGCTCGTGTGCTCCACTCCAGTGGAATCCTGATGGCTGACCTGTAAACCCATGCCCGCGTGCCACGCCCCTTGCCTTTTTACAGGACGTAGTTGCGCAGCTTTTCGGTGGGCAGGGTTCGATTAGCGAAAGAGACTATCGCAGCTGCCGGTTGGCTTACGGTCAGGTCACAGAAAACATGGCACTGGTTATCCGTGGAGCTGTGCGACCTCCTGGCCACGAACGCGAAGATGGTCTTCTTCTCGGAGTCACCCTCACTGGTCCACATCCGGTTCTCGGGGTCAATGGCGCAGTGTGAGATGACATCCGCCGTGTAGTGCTTCCGGAAGAACTTTTTGCGTGTGTTATCCGTGAGGGTTATACCCTGCGAGGAGACCTTGAAGTGCACCTCCGTGGGCTGCGGCATCGGTCGCTGGGCGTACATCATCCGAATGGCCTTGCGGATAGCCTCGTTTCCGGTCAGCGACTCCGTGTCGCAGGAGAATAGCCACAGGACATTGGTGGCGG